CAGGGACTAAAAAGGGGATAAGTTCTAGTTCCAGATTTTTTTGGTGTGAACGCAAAATCCCAATAACTATCGGAACTATTCCTGGGAAAAGTACTCCGGTGTGAAAGCGCCTATTGTGGATCAGACACTGTTTTGGTTTGGGGGGATTTATTACAGTTAAAGGGGCAGAACGTCCCTATCTTCATGCAGACTAAACACTGTGTGAACAGATTTCAGTAAGAAGTATTTCATGCTTAAGACGGGTAGCGTTTTTTTAATATCTAGAATGAATGTGAAAACATTTGATACAGCACAGTGACAATGAGACCCTAAATGTGTCTAATGTTTAAATCCTGCACAGACAGACATTACTCATTAGTTTATTTTTGGTTTTTTCATGTTGATTCACCTCTGAAAGGAGCTCAAGGGGTTAACACAATCAAATTCAAGTATACTTTATTGTAAAAGCTTCTTTACTGTAACATTAAAATGCTTTAAGATAAGAGATTCAGCCTGAAGACAACACACTGGAGATAAAAGTACAAATGGTAAAAAATTATTATGACCAGTTTCCAGATTGAGCGGTCAATAATAAACCTGAAGTGCAGATTTCCGTCACATTTACATTGTTCTTTCCTGCTTTTCTATCATTCCCTTCTATGTGGTTAAAGCTTCACTTGAGCACCACAACACCTGTGTGTATACGCTTTAGTTGTAGTTGTCTCTCACAGGATGAAAAGTGTTTGGGTTCCTTGCTCGTCATCGACGTCTGGAGACTGAAAAATGACCGATATTGGCCAAAAAGGATGAAGCTGAGGTAGCAACTACCATGCCTGAGAGACCTGTCCATCAAGGTAAACATATTAAATCTTAACATTTACTTTAAGGCACATTCATTATGAAATTAGAAAAATTAAGTTATCTTAAGAAAATAACCTTTTGCTCGAGAACGTTTGAGGTTTTCCAATTTACTTAAATACAATTGGTGTTTCTCAGCAAGTGTCTAAGTGGACTCAATGTAAACATTGACGTTTGTGTTCAGTGAAAGTTACCAGGTCAATTCACTTAAAACGGTTCACCCCCTTAACTATTCTTGACATGATGCAATTGCAAATGTAATCTAATCATTTTGATAATGTAGAATGAATCCTGTATAAAATGTTCTGCAACGTTAAAGTGGACCTATCATGCTATATTTGAATAATATAGTGTAGGACCATACCTATATAAGGCATATTTATACTTTTTATTTTTCAAAATACCAAACAGATCATGCATTTTAGCCATTCCTCATTTCGCTCAATTTAACACTGTCTTTGCATGGGCTGATTCTGTGAGAACAGCACCATCTACAGGCCTGAAATATGTACTACAGCGTCTCCAGCACTTTCTAACGGCAATGTCCGTGGCTGTCTCCTCCTGATTGGTGGAGTTGGCCCAATAGCCGTAGCGCCACTTCTGTGACGTCATAGAAGTGTTCAAATCTGGATCAGTCTGTATCAGATCCGTTGCAGCCCCTTTTTAAGAGATTTGGGTATGGAGGAAAATAGAGAGGGTTGTGTTTTCTGACACTTGGTGAGTTCCCGGGGACACATATTCATGTAT